CCATGAGCTGGAGGAAATAAAGCAACTCTCAAAAGAGAAAGTAATTGCTATTCCCAATAGCTGACCTTGCTGAAAATCTTAAACATTTCGACATTCACTTTTTGTGGTATAGAATACAGTCCTTGCCAGAGTTAATTGTGTCACAGAACAATATAAATATTGACTTTAATTGTACAGTCAAATGGTTAATGTCACATAAATGCATGTTAATTATATTTTACTAAATTTTAAAAGAATTTAAGTGTCATCTCTCAGTCTACCAGTGTATAACCTTGTTGTTTTCATTATAGTTTAGGTAACATGGTTACAGTTGTGTTGGTTATGGTATCGATGGACCAAGTCACTGCTCCCCACTATCACAGAGTGTCCAGATTACTCCACCACTGTCCCTGTCACTTTAGTGCCCCTTTCATAACCCCTACCACACTGCCTGATAATCTGTTTTGTAATTCAAGGCCAAAGGTTTATCATCATTCAATACTGTCTCTTCCCCCACTGTTCTCTATCTATATACCACACATGAATGAGATTTGCTGGTATTTGTTCTTTTCCTTCTGAATTATTTCTCCCAACATGATGCCCTGCAGAGTTCCACCCACACTGTGGCAATTGCATGATTTCCTCTTTTTACATCTGTATAGTAGTCCATTGTGTGTACTTATTACAACTTCTTTATCCAATCATCTATTGTTGGACATTTGGGTTCTTTCCATATCGTGATTATTGTAAAAAGCACAACATTAACATAAATGTGCATATATCTTTATGAACTAATATTTTTAGTGTTTGGGGAGTTGTTACGAAGAAGTGGAATCACTGGGTGTGGCTCCCCCCAAATAATTAAGTGTACCACTTAATGTTAGCTTAATGCTTGTATGTTTATATTAATATATTATAAAATATTATATAATATAAAAAAGCAAGTGTACTGCATTGGTTTACTTAAAATAATAACAGAGAAGTTATATAGCCTTATTTGATATATTTTTTTAAGGAAGCTCGTGGACATCATTTAGCTGAAGAATTGGGGGCTTCTCAAGTTCGTGAAGCACATTTAGAAGCAAGAATGCAAGCAGAAATTAAGAAATTGTTAAAGGAAGTAGAATCTCTCAAAGAAGCTTATCATTTGGAGGTAAAGAAAAAATTATTTGTGTTTTTTTGTTGTTGTTTTGGTTTGGGTTTGGGGGCCACCGGTGATGCTCAGGGGTTACTCCCAGTTCTGCAGTCAGGAATCACTGCTGGCGGTACTCAGGGGACAATATGGGATGCTGGAGATTGAACCTGGGTCAGCCACATGCATGGCAAGTGCCCTACCCACTGTACTGTTTCTACAGCCCAAGAACATTTTCATGTTTCATTAATTATTACATCATATTTGATGGGGTTTAGACAGTAGGCAACAAATCATAGAGGGAAATATCTATCTATCTATCTATATGTATATGCATATATACATATTTTCCTGGCACAGACCCTCTGAGATGGGGTTCTGTTCTGCCAGCTGCTCAACAACCTCTGGGCGCACTGCATTAACCTCAAGGAGATCAACCTGAGGCCGCAGATGTCCCAGGTGCTGCCCAGAAACGAAGGCAGGTGTGTGTTTGTCAGCGTGTAGATCATTACAACAAGCCAGCTGACCAAAAATATGTAAAAGTTATTACAGTTTACCCCAAAAGCCTCTGTCCTTCTCAGAGAGCCCAGCAAGCTACCGAGAGTATCCCGCCTGCATGGCAGAGCCTGGCAAGCTACCCATGACGTATTCGATATGCCAAAAACAGTAACAATAATGGGTCACATTCCCTTGACCCTGAAAGAGCCTCCAATATGGCAGCATTGGGAAGGATGAGTAAGGAGAGGCTGCTAAAATCTCAGGACTGGGACAAATGGAGACGTTACTGGCACCTGCTCGAGCAAATCGATGAACAATAGGACGACAGTGATACAGTGATTTTTCCCTTGGCTGTGTGAACCTGACAGTGCCTGAAGACACAGTGTAGTGTCCAAGAGTGCAGTAGAGCCTCTCCTGGCAGTGCTCCAGGACTAAAGGCTGAGTCTCTTTAGTTTACATCCATCTAGCCAGTGGTCCTTGGGGGTCATATGGTGCCTGGGATTGAACATCAGGTCTCCACACACTTTAAGCTGTCTCTCCCTGACATGGTACTTTTGAAGCAAAACCAGTTATTTTATCAGTAAATATTTTAATAAATATCTATGAAAGCTAAGGGTTAATTTCTTTCTGTTTTTATTTTAATTCAGAAGATATTTAAATGGGGAAAGGATCAGAAAGTAAACCCAATATTATTATTTATTGTATCTAAACATTGACCCATAATTCCATATATAGTCAAATATCTAGACATTGTACAAATTTCCCCAATTTATACAAACTGTCTAGTGGTATTGTTCACTTTCAAAAAGAGCTTGTTATACTTGGTTAGTTCTTAAATACATTTAAGGCTTTGGCCTTGGTCCTCAAGCCCATGTTCTCCCCTGAACATGCTTCTCACTTGGTCTTCTCTATTTTCTTTTGCTTATTTCCGTTCTGGAGAAGCCTATGTTCTCTCAAACATATTCCCCCTTTTTCTTCTCCCTCACATCTTTCTCAGTTTCAGTAAAAACTATCTTGCTTCACTAAAAAATAATAATAAATAAAATGAATTTATGGCTAAGGCTTATTCTTTCCCCCTTCTTTCCCTAGGCTTCATTTGTGGAGAAATAAGCTATTTGTAGTTATAAACAGAATTTACTTCTGTTTAAGTGGAAATGAATAGTATTAGAATAGTGTGTGTGTGTGTGTGTGTGTGTGTGTGTGTGTGTGTAGGAAGGTAGGTTTTATTGAAACTTACTTAGAAAGATGTGGGGAGCTGGAGTTATAGCACAGTGGGTAGGGCGTTTGCCTTGCACGCAGCCGACCCTGGTTCGATTCCCAGCATCACATATGGTCCCCTGAGCTACTTCCAGGAGTAATTCTCGAGTGCAGAACCAAGAGTAACCCCTGTGCATTACCAGGTGTGACCCAAAAAGAAAAAAAAAAAAAGAAGTGAGGAGGAGGGAGGGAGAAGTACATATTCGAGCAAACACAGGCTTCTGCAGAGTGGAAATAGGCAAAGAAACATTGACCCAAGCAAGCAAAGTCTATGTTGAAGGCTTCACAAGCTAGCATTAGAATATTGGTTTTTTTTTTTCTTTTTGGGTCACACCCGGCAATGCCCAGGGGTTACTATTGGCTCTGCACTCAGGAATTACCCCTGCCGGTGCTCAGTGGACCATATGGAATGCTGGGAATTAAACCTGGGTCGGCCTCATGCAAGGCAAACGCCCTACCTGCTGTGCTATTGCTCTAGCCCCTAGCCTTAGAATATTGTTGAAACCAGCTCTGATCTGTTATTTCTTTCCTCTTTTCTCTTTCCAATATTGGGAATTTAGATGGTTTCACATCAAGAGAACCATGCAAAATGGAAGATTTCTGCCGACTCTCAGAAGACTTCTGTTCAGCAACTCAATGAACAGTTAGAGAAGGCAAAACTGGAATTAGAAGAAGCACAAGACACTGTAAGCAATTTACACCAACAAGTCCAAGACAGGAATGTAGTTATTGAAGCTACAAATGAAGCATTGCTTATTAAAGTAAGTCCACATGAAGATTTACTAAATGGGTTGCAGCAATAGTACTGTGGGTAGAGTGTTTGCCTTCCATGTGTCAACTCAGGATCAATCTCCAGCACCCCATATTCCCCCAAACTCCTCCAGGTGTGATCCCTGAGCATTGCTGGGTATGGCCCAAAAAGCAAACCAAAAAATGTACTAATGTATGAAATAGTAAATTTTAACTTGTTTTCCAATCTTGTTTATAGAAGACTTATGTGCTCAAATCCTGACCTATCTGAGTAAAAAGTACTTTAATTAGAAAATGTTGAATTTGGGTATTATTAATAAAATCTATGTATCATATCCCTACAGGAGAAATAAAAATTTACAAATGTTCAAACAAAATTGTTTATGTGTGAGAACACCCAACTTCACATTGTCATAAATTTCATCTATTCCAGTGTTTGATATAGTTTCACATTTGTTTTTTCTCTGTTGCCTTTTTTCCCCTTCCCACCCCACCTCCCCCCACATCACACATGTCTACACACTTCTCTTTGTCCTGCTGTTGTTGCAGTACTTGGGCTTCTTACACGTTTGAAAGTGGTGCTTGCTGGGGGTCACCCATCAGGTTGAGGTGCTTACAGACATGCTCGCTGGGGCTTACCCTCTAGTTGTGATGCTCACCAGGAGTCACACCATTTTTTAGTTGCAGTGTCTGCACACACCTGCTGTGGTATGGCTAGAAATTCTTAGAGTGTTGAGGATCACAGACCAGCAATGTTGCCTGTGTTGCACTCATTGCCAAGCTTTTTCCTTGTCCTTATAAGCCAAGGATAGAGCTTGTCCTGCTTTTTTCCTTTCTAGGCATTTACAGTTTTGGATCTTAGTTCAAGTGTTTAACCTATTTTGAGATTTTTGGGTTTTTTGTATATGGTCTATTTTCACTGTTTGGCATGTGGCTGTCAAATTTTCCCAGCACCACTTATTGTTTTAGGTCCTGTTGCCTTTAGAACCATTGTTATTCCCTCACAATGTTTCCTTGTATTCCATATATGAGAGATGTTGTTCTTTTGCAATTTTTATTTTTTTATATTTTTGGGAGGTCACACCCAGCAATGCAAAGGGGTTACTCCTGGCTCATGCATTCAGGAATTGCTCCTGGTGGTGCTCAGGGGACCATATATGATGCTGGGAATCGAACCTGGGTCAGCTGTATGCAAGGCAAACGCCCTACCTGCTATGCTATTGCTCCAGCACCTGCAGAGAAATTTTTAGATCTAAGATTTCAATATTGAATAGAAATTAAAATTGTCACTTGACACTGTATGATTGTAACCTAATCATGAACAGTTTTGTAAGGGTCTATATCACAGTGATTCAACAAAATAATACATAAAATTGTTACTCAAGACTAGAGGCACACTCAGGTATCTCCTGTTGTCTCAGTGTGCTGGAGTCTGAAAAGAGCAACTGCTGACCTTATTCTTCTGTGACCCTGTGGCATCGTCAGTCACCAAGTTAGTGACATGGACAAAATAACAATAATCATAATAATAAAATTGTCCTTAACACAAAAAAGGCAAGGAGACGACAGAAAAATTTACCTTTCATGAAAATACTTAATTCAGGTTAAACATATTTCAGGTCAACTTTTGTAATTGTCTCAAAATGGTTTGAGCAGAGCTTGGCAAAATGACTCTCGTGTGTGTGTGTGTGTGTGTGTGTGTGTGTGTGTGTGTGTGGTTAGAAAAAGAATTCTGTGTAGAGTAAAGCTTTACTCAGCTAATAAAGCCTTACTTAGCTGATTTCAAAGAGCCTGTGGTTTTCTAAATTGTTCATTCATTTAACAAAGCTGGATTTTCCCTACAGGAATCAGAATTAACCAGATTACAAGCCAAAATGTCTGGACATCAAAGGACAGCCTCACTTACATCCCCAACAGAAATCATGCCTGATGTTCAGAATGCAACGTTTGCTAAATATCATCAGACATCTTTTTTAAAATGTAGAAAACTACGTCGCTCTAGTAGTGCCAATGACCTAAGTTTCAAATCTCATAATAATGAAGATCTTTCTGAAGAATTACTACAGGACTTAAAAAAAATGCAATTAGAACAACCTTCAACAGTAGAAGATAGCCACAAGGAGCTAATCTACACCCATCCAGACTCATTCAAGCCTCTCACGTATGATTTAGAAGATGATGGTTCTGAGAATAATGACTTCAATACTCTTAGTGGAATGCTCAGATACATAAACAAAGAAGTGAGACTGTTAAAAATATCTTCTCTGCAAACAGGTCTAACTCAGGTAGGTATTTCGTATATTAGAAGCTCTAATAGTTTATCTTCAATAAACATCATTGTACTACTTGGAGGAAAGTCTAAATAGTTAAATGAAGCATATACTTGTGTAACTGGTGATGTGCACAATATTGAAAGTACAAAACATTCATTATGTGTTTGGAATATTTTTTATCCTTTGTTAGATTTTAAGCCACACAGACAAAACTGGTGGTGTTCGGGGGGCCTGAAGCGAGAAGTAGGGGGTCTCCAGCATACATGGCATGTGCTCCCACCTTCTGAGCCACTCTCAGCCCGGTTTGGAATGCTTTTAAAACCTCAAACAAATGAAGTTGAGAATTTAGCTTTCAATATTAATTTTTGAAAATAGCCCATATATTAGATTATAGTATAATTTCCATAGTTGATTAAAGAAATCAGCTATGGAAATTTTGAGGAAAGTTTTTGAACTTGAGAGTATCAGACATGTGTTTATAGACTCTTCCTAGAAAGCCCACCTAGCAAAATGTTCAGTAGCTTATCATTGTGGGAGTTCATGGACTTCCACAACGCTTAGAATGTTTTATGCCATTGGTTCATTCACTTGGTTTATTTGCTTCTATTATTCTTTGAGCATTTTTTGTGGAATAGGCAACTTTATCCATATTATACATGCCCAACAGACACTGAAAACCTTTTCTAAACATTCATAGTTTGCATATAGAAATGAAAATACTTTTTTAGGGGCTAGAAAAAGAGTACTGAAGTACCCAACCAGGTTGCTCTCCAGGACCATATACTCTCCCAGTCAGTGGCCAGAGTGGACCTTGTGGTCTGAGGCACTGCTGGGGTGCCCCCGCTGGCCGCTGGTACTGCAGGACTCAGTCAGAACCACATCCTCCAGTCCTTGCACTCAGTGATGGGCTCCGTTTGCCCAGTATCTCCCCAGGTGGCCCTTGGGCACCTTGAATACCACTTGGGACTCCAAAAAAAAATTTTTTTTTACATCTTTTTTTCTCAGCTTTTTTCCAGATGTGTACTTGCCTCATTTTTAAACATAACAAATTATGTTGGTGGCCTACAAAACTTTGTTTTGGCTTTTGGCTACCCCCCAGGCTCAGGGTCTGTATCTGGCTCTGTGCTTGAGGATTGCTCTCAGGAGTGCTCCAGGGACCATTTGGTACCATAAACCAAACCTGAGACTCTTTAATGCAGAGCACATTCTCAGCCGTTGAGCTCTCTCTCTCTCTCCAGTCCACAAAAAGGTTTTTGGAATCTGGAAATGCTCAGGGCTTACTCCTGGCTCTGCACTCAGAGATTACTCCTATTGGGCTCAGGGGATCATATGGGATGGCAAGGATTGAACCCATGTCTGCAGCGTGCGAGGCAAGCGCCCTGCCCACTGTACAATATCTCCAACCCCCACAAAAAGTTTTAAGTTTTTTGAGAATGGATTTTAAGACAAAGACTGCTGAAACTTCTTTGCATTTCTCCATAAAATTTAATACATGATAAAGAGTTTAAGTGGGGCTGGACAGCTAGACAGTACAGGGTTAAGGCACATGACTTGCACATAACTAACCCTGGGTTCATCTCCAGAATTCCACGATGCCCCAGACATCACCAGGTGGAGCTTAGGAGATCCTCTGACCCCTGCAGGTCGGCCCAGATCATCCGCAGCACTGCAGGGCCTGAAAAACACCACCAGTCTCGTGTGGAGCCACCAGTCTCTTTGGCTGAGAATCATCAAAGGGCCCTTCATCTATCTTCCTTACTCTGCCCTCAGTTTGACACCAGTGTCTGTTTTTTTTTTTTTTAATTATAGCCCCTGTTTGTTTCTATAATCAGTTTAGTTTAACCTTATCCTCCCTTCTGCTTCCCCCAGCCAGAAGTAATTGCTTTTTATATTCAAATAACTCATCATTGATTTACTCTGGTTCATGTTTTTCAATTGATAAAATATTCCTCTATTGCAGTACAATCACACAGGAACCCAGTTCTTTGAAATTAAGAAGAGCAGACCTCTGACGGGGCTGATGGACCTGGCCAAGGAAATTCCTCTATTAGTTGAAAATACATTCCTGATTATTATAGTAGGCTTTTAATGTATAATCAACATTCGAATATTTTGGAGATTAATCTATTGTTTTTGAATTATTTCAGGGAGAAAATTTGTAATTGGAAGAAGTTGGTGTGATGAAAAATTAAATTTTTGGTATTATGCTGTTGACTTTCTTTTGTCTTCAATTGGGTATTTCTTATTGTCATGCTGGAGTTTTGGGGTGTTTGTTTGTTTGTTTGTTTGTTTTCCAATTTTGGACCATACTTGGTGATAGTACAGCATACTTGGTAGTACTTAGGGCCAACACCCAACTCTGTGCTAAGGGGACCAGATAGTGTCAGGGATGGAATCCAGGCCTTCTGTGTTATCCTGTTTACTTCTGTGTAGCTCATACTTTATAAAAGCTGGATTTTTGGTGAATAATTTTTTGGTTTGTTGTGGTTTTGGAACCATACCCAAGAGTACTCAGGAGCTATTACCAGCAGTGCTTCAGGGGACCATGTGGTACCAGGAAGCAAACCCTGGATTCTTGCATGTAAAGTGGACTCCAGCCTATTGAGCTATCTCCCTGGCCTGCTTGTAAAGACATTTTTTAGTTCAGTATTTTAAAGAAAGTTCTAATTGTGCACATTTGTGTGTCACTTTGAGTGAGTTATTTAATATTTCTTTATTTCCCTAATTATAGACAGTGGTACCCACTTCACAGGGTTATTATATCCAACACATTAGTGCACTCAGCACTCCTAGATGAGTACAGAAGTGATCAATCGTGATACATTCTTTTTTAAGCTTTTAGATTTTTTTTTTCATGAGGGTTTTGTTTGGTTTGTTTTTACTGTTTTGGCTTTTTGGGTCACAGCAGCAATGCTCGGAGTTGCTTGTGGCTCTGCACTCAGGAATTACTCCTGGCAGTGCTTGGGGGAATTATTCCTGGGGGTCAAACCTGGGTTGACCCCGTGCAAGGCAAATGCCTTACCTGCTGTTCTATCACTCTGGCCCCTCTTTTGTGAGTTTTAAAAAACACTTTTCTGATTTGTCTACAAGAAAAATAACTGGAAGCCAGGGAGATAGTACAACAAGCAGGGCACTGCCTTGCACAAGGCCAGGTCAGGTTTGACCCGCAGCACCCCATCAGGAGCCCCCAGCACTGCCAGGACTATGGCCTGGAGTGAGCAGTGAGCACAGAACCCAGAGGGAGCCCTGAGCACCTACAAGACTAAAGAGGATGGATAATCTCATAATGAAATTTTTCTTTTTCTGTTTTAGGGTTCATCCTTTTTGTTTTTGTTTTTTTCTTAGAGTTAAGGGGGTTCAGTAGTGTCAGTATCCATAGTTTTACTATACAAAGTTACTGCACTTTCCCTGCCGCCAGTGTGCCTGAGGGCACACTGTCCTTGTTTGTTCTGTCTTATCCTTGCCCTGCAACTCCAAGCCACTTACCACTGAGTGCAGGGCCTCCTCCCCCCGCCCAAGGTCCCCCTCATCCTTCATTCTTCCCACAGTCCTCTGCCTTCCCCTGATCTCATGGTCCCCCTGACTCCACAGTTCCCCTTCATCCCCCCAATCTCACAGTGCCCCCTCCATCCTCTTGATCCCACAGTCCCCAACACCCCCAATCTCACAGTCCCTTCCTCCGTCTCCCGATCCCATGGTCCTCAAGACTCCCCTATCTTGTGCCTCCTCCCACCTCTGCCACCCCCTGAGCTTGACTTCTCAAGCAGTGTTACACATTTTCTTACTCATCCTAGGTATCCTGATGGTCTGTCATTTCCAATCACTCCCATGCCATTATCCTAAAACTTTTTTTTTTTTTTTTTTTTTTTTTTGCTTTTTGGGTCACACCCGGCAATGCACAGGGGTTATTCCTGGCTCTGCACTCAGGAATTACTCCTGGCGGCGCTCATATCCTAAAACTTTTGACTTACAAAATTTACTGACATTTTAATTACATGAAAAAGTTTTACTGAATTTATTCACTCTCCTTCTCCCCCCATCTCCCAACCCCTGGCTCCATTTAAGCTGTTTTATATTGCTTAGTTTGCTTTAGATTATAAAGCTCTGAGAGAGACTTGTTTCACCAGAGCCCATTTCTCTCCCTTTTTCTATGATTACAGGGTCTTAATTGGGTCTGTGGCCTGGTGCTGTATTTTCTACTCCCTCCAATGACTTAAGTTCTCTCGGAAGAA